GTGTTGCTACACGGAGCAGCATCGCTACAACGCTTTCTCAGCTGTGAAGCTCTTTCATTGGCCCAGCAGCGTGCTAGCTAGCGTCGTCCACACAGCCTTCAGTGAAATAAAAATAACAAACAATAGGTGATGCCGTCGTCGAACATTCATGTAACAGATCACGTGACATGGCGTTACAAAAAACGCGTTGAAAAGGCAACTGCGCTCCGTTAAACCTCCAGAACATGAATCAGATTTAGTAAAAATGGGAATGTTAGCATTACTGTCGTTTTAAAATTCATTTCTAAACGAGCTAAATAAGATACACGTCATCATGAGCATATCAGCACCGTAGAGAGCGCTGAGATGAAGTTTAGATACTTTCAGTTTGAATGGTGCACAAATACAAACTGAAACATCCTAAAAACAAAAGTCAGGATCAGGAGACTCACCGGGTCCTGGTGCTGAAGTTTGCTTGTTGCCTCCAGATGTTCAGGAGTCGCTCCGCTGAGTTTATCATTAAAGACCTCCAGCATCAGGTTGGATCACGTCCGGTACTGATTCTGTTTCTCCTCCGTCTCAGAATCTGTTCACAATTTACTGATTTACCCGATTCTGAGTTCTGTAAAGTATTGTGGATGAATTTTGAGATTTTCATGTGACTTCAGAGCTTTGAAAGTATTTGAAGGTTCAGTATCTCCAGAAACAAATAAACTCCCACAGACAGTAAACCTGGTGGAGACACAGACGGGATGGTTTCCAGTCCATCTAAACGGTCGAATGGATCCAGAAACGGAATGATTCATATCACTGGTGCTTGAAAATGGAAAAAAAAGAGAAAAAAAGTGGAGAATTGTCAAACCAAGGTGGTAACGTTGCTCCAGAAAGTTCATATTTCCTACAAAAAGGGTTTCATTGAACACATCATGTCGATTGATCGTTATTATGATGTTGATTTATCATCAGTTCCTCTGTCCAGTGTTTGTTTGGGAACATTAAGGCAACGTCAGCCTCGTGTGTTGTTAAATGTCCCCATGGAGACAACATGGAAGCAGCTCGGCACTGTGCACATAGAAACCAACGTCTAGAACCTGTGAACTCCAGGTTCTGGTTCCTACCAATGATCCTCATCAACAGTTAGTCCAAACATCCACAAACCAGAACCTGGTCTGGTCCAGCTTCACCACATCAGGTTCTGCTGATGTCAGAGCCTCAACAGCTAGTGAAACGTGACCAGAGACTGGGTTCTAGTAGAACCATGGATCCATCCATAGACAGACACTGACAGGAACTTTCTGGGGATCAACGCCATATTTTTTTTAAAACCATTTTTAAATGTATCTTGAGTAATTCTGACCACATTTTGACTAATTTTGAACATATTTCAGTCATTCTTTGGACTAATTTGGCACATTTTTGACTCATGTTTGGATTAATTTGAAGAAATTTGTAGAATTTTTAGCCACGCTTCAAGTCATTTTGGACAATAACGGGACAGTTTTGGGGCAATTTTAAAATGGTTTCAAGTTAAAATGTCTAAAACCTGGAACCTTGTCTGGTCCAGCTTCACCTCATCAGGTTCTGCTGATGTTTGAACAGGTGGTGAAACGTGACCAGAGACAGGAGAGGAACACCTCCTCGAGTCTCAAAGCATCTCGGCATCATCATCGTCTCTCTTCCTGCACACGTCTGTCTCCTCCTCCGTCCTGTTCTTTGACCTGTAGTTACCTCCCAGCGGTTGTCCAGCCGTCCTCCTGCAGAGCTTCCACAGGATCACAAAGAGCTTCTGTGTTCAAACAGAAACCGATATTAGATCAATACGCTCATCTGGCTCTCATCTTCAGGAACCCTGTCTGATATATAACACACCCACATGATCAGAAACAATAAAAAATACGCAGTAAAAGCAGGAAAACATGGAGGAACCGTGAGGTTCTGGTTACGACACGACACACGAGTTCAAACATAAAGAGTGAATGGTTTGTACGGAGCGTCAGGGATTAGCAGAGTTTAACCTTCTGCAGTGTTTCAGATTCTGAGCAGTAACTGGTTCAGTCCAAAACATCTCATGTGGTGTAAAGTAACTAAGTACAAGTACTCAAGTACTGTATCGAATTACTGGAGTATTTCCATTTTCTGCTGCATGTCAGAGCTGAGAGGGATGTTAGCGCTTCAGAGATAAAGAACCGTGAATCTGTACAAACAAACGGACGTTTGTTCGTATTTAATGGTGTTTGAAAAGTGCAAATGTGAAATAAATCTAGAAAACAACAGAAGTAAAAAACTAATCTGTTAATTATCAGCGCTTCCACAATAACGAGACATTTTCTGGATTTAATGTATCGCCACTGAAAAATACAACTTTTATTAGTTTATCTACGGTTAATAAAACCTGCAGCGCCAACACGACGTCTGAAGAAGAGTTTTGAGTTTTATTTGGTTCCTTCTCCTGATTGAACAGCATCTGTCTGAAAGTCTGTTTCTGTTTTTACTGTTTCTACTCCTGTTAAAAATAAAAAACGTCCTTTTGGGGTGAAACTGTCTGTTGATCGTCTTCACTGCGTTAGCGTGAGATGCTAACGTGCTAAAAACAGGAAGTGGTTTTTATGCTTCCCTGAACGTGACTTTTTATTAAACTATCGAACAGCTTTGGTTTGTTTGGAGATAAACTTTAGTAACAAAACATAACCAAGAATTCTGATGTATGAATATAGAACCAGATCAAACTTTAATTTAAAGGAGTGAAATCATTTTTATAATCCAATAACACACATTGTTCTGCATGTTCAGTTCTCTCTCTGTACATTCTGATGCTAATACTTCAGTACATGCAGGAGTATTTCTACACTGACCTATGAGTGCTTCTGCTTCGGTTCTGAGTCCTGGTTTGTTTCCTGTCCCGCCTCAGAGCAGAACGTCGCACTGATTCCAGCTACAGTTAATTTTTAAATGGAGATTTAGCATTAAGACACACGATAAGCTCATAAAGTGACATCTGCCTTTTAAACGTTTACCGTTTTAATTCGTTAACCGTCCAGACAAACCAATAATTCACTAAAGTCCGCTGAGCGCTGTGGGCTTCCACAGCTTCTGTTTGACTTTAGGTTCAGAACATTTGTCCAAAACTGATCTGCGATAAACTTCAGGTTCATTCTGAAGTAGAATCGAGCTTTAGTTCATGTAGGAGTGCAGCGATCTGATCAACGTGAATGTTTCTCAGTGGTTTCTGTGATTATTCCAGCGTCTGTTCCTCAGAACCGATGAAAGCTGTTGGTCCTCTGCTGCCACCTAGAGGACACCGAGCTGCTTCAGCCGGAGGCTCAAAAAGCAGCTTGAACTCAAATAAACACCTTCAGCACCAAAGAAAGAAAAGAGACGGAAGAAACGTTCTTTAAAAGACGTTTCGGATGTTTCGGTTCAGTCGTTTACAGAAGACGAGAGTGAAACGGCTTCATGTTTGGTTTGAGGAGGTTCACACTCAACACGTTAGCAGTCGACTGAAAAAAAAGGTTTGAAACGATCAGAAACTGAAACAGTTCAACGGTTAAGAGAGACTTTTCTTTATTTCCTTTGTGCAATATCACCATTCTGTTCAAATCGCTGCTTTTGAATTTACTTCTGGTTACAGCTTGATTTTTTTATGATGATGATTATTGCTGCTGTACACAAGCTGCTGCCGGCCTCTCTGACTGCATCGCCTCCTCCTCAGCAGCACTCACACTGTTCCTGTCATCATCCTGATTGTCTGTTTATTGTGTCGGCGATAAATGAAAGTTTTTTTTTATTCTGAAACGGTTTAAGAGGAAAACAAGATTCATGGATCACAAATGAATGTTAGAGCCACAGACCCGTCACTGTGTTCATCTAACTGAATGAGTTTGAATCAGTCTGATTCTGATGTTAAATACATTTAAAATAATCTATAATGTTGTTTTGCCTGATTAAAATACAGTAAAAAAATAATTTTACAGTGAAACGGTGCAAAAGAACAACATGTTTAATGAGAACATGTTAGTTTGGGGATTTGTTTTTGTTTTTTTTTACAGTTAACATGTAAATTCATATTTTTTCTGTTCTTTTATTTGCTATTACTTGTGTTTTAACAGTTTAAATCCGTAAAATAACAGCTCAAGAAATATATCTACCATTTGTCAATCCTTAATATGCACAATTTATCTTTAAATTATCTGTAAAATAATAATGCTTGGGAGAAAAAAACGCTAAAAATAGATTCACTTTGCATGAAAATGCTGCAAAAGAACAAATTAGTTTTTGTAAAAATACAGACTTTTAGATAAATACTATCTGTAACATCCACAAAGTGTAAAAACTACGAAAACAGCAGCAAACATCTGTAAAGTAGTGATGTCATAGCTGATTTAAATACAGGAAATAGTTCAACTTCACGGTAAAAATACTGATTTCTGAGTGGACGGTGTTGGTAGTTTGGGAACCATCTATAGAACTATTTGATCTGCACTTTAAACAGTGTAAATCTTTAAAATAACAGTTTAAACAATCTCTTTTGTCTGTGATTCTATTCTATTCTATGTATTTTAACATACAGGGTAAATCTGTAAAATAACTTAAAAAATATTGTTCTATCCATGATGTGCATAATTATATCTGTACAGTTCAAACTAATAATTATTTACCATTTTCCATAATGTAGATATTTTGTTCAGCAACACGTCTCGCTGATTTAAATGCTGTAAAAACAGAAACAGAATATAGATTTTCGGCCGGTTTTATCCAGTTAACATGTAAATAAAACCTTTTTCCTGAGACTTTAGAAGCTGTTTCCATAGAACAGGTGTAACCGTTCAAACACACGACAGCTTAAGCTGCTGCAAACGTCGCTTTTCTCCATCAGATCATTCAAACTGCACATTACTGAGCTCACATCATGTCAGTGATCAGTGAAGCGTGCAGCAGACGGTGGGAGGACCAGGCCTCGCTCTGCACCGGCTCAACAACACCGAGCCGGAACAGGGACCTGAACAGGGACCTGAACAGGGACCTGGACCAGCAGCAGCGACCTTCCAGCTGGTAAATAAAGCGACCCAGAGCAGCAGGATGGAGGCGAAGCTCTGTGGGCGTCGAGGTCAGGACAAGACAAACAGTCGCCCACAGTTTGTTTCAGCTGCTGAATGCGGAGCGTTTGTTTTGCTTCGTCGTGTTTATCTTCCAGATCACAGTCGATGCACTTTAATCAACGTTTTACACTCGGCGCCGAGACACGACATTAAAACAGCCTCATGTTGTGTGTCTGTACGCTGGTTTGGCAGCCATTTTGTGTCTTTCTGGTTATTCTGTTTCCTCCAAACAGTTCTGAATCCATGCGCTCATGCTTGGCCTCTTTATCTATGTCATGCTTGTTTGTGGTTGTTTTGTGTCTCTTTGTGGTTGTTTTGTGTCTCTTTGTGGTTG